TTCAGGCCCAAAGGCGACAGGCAGACCCCAGACCTCCGATCCCGCCCAGCCTTTCTGGGAAAGACCACCCACAAATGAAATCCGGGCAGGCGGGTGAGAAGATTGCTGGAGAGGCCAGGGTGGGAGCAGGACCGCCAACCGCCTCCTCCCAGGAGGCCGGGACAGGCCCCCTTGGTCCTGGACACTGGATGGCCCTCCAGGCCCCCAGGGAGGGCGGGGTTGGCGGGGGGGACTTGGGCGTCCTCGAGCAGAATCAAGACCAGAGCTCAGCTGTTACAAACGGGACGGAGGCAAAACCTCTGTGCAACAAAGATACACAAAACACAGCATTTAGTGTTTAGATTTCGATGACGTAAAGCTATGGCGTGTTACGGAGTCTAAGCTCGTACTGCTTGCCGCATGACAGGCCAGTAATCGAGAGACAAATTGTTGGGGCAAGGAATAACGGCTTTATTTGGAAAGCCCGCAAACTGAGAAGATGGTGGGCTCGTGCTCCAAAGAACTATCTTACCTGAGTTAGAATTCAGGCTTCTTTTATACTAAGGGAGGGAGTCAAAGTCAAGCATTTCCTGGTTCAGGTCAGCCTCCGGAGGGGATGTGTTAATTTCTTCCTCTCTGCAGTCATTCACAGGTGGGCCTGGTCAGGATGTTTCTTGTGAGCTAAACAAAGGTATTTTAGCTTAATGCTCATTACCTGGGAGGCAGGGTTCCCAGAGATGGGCCATTATGTATAATTTAAGCTTATAGGCAACATCCCTTTAGCAATTAACATGTAATAGAATACAAAAGTTCTTCCCTATTACAGTGTGGCTGTGAGGATGGGACACAACGGGATGGGCGTCCTTAAGGGTCACAGGTGTGGGCAAGGAGAGGGCAGGATCCCCACTCCCATCAGCCCTGAGAAGGGGTCCTCCTGGCCACCGAGCATGGATCTGAGCTCCAGGGACAGACCCCCAGCTTGTAGCACCAGCAGGACGGCAACTTGGCCATGAGGACAAGCTGCACACGCCCCCCAGCCCCTGCCACTGCCAGGCAGTTGGGTGGTTGGGAAGGCCGCTGCCCAGCCCCTGGAGATGGGGAGGGCAGCTGTGGGAGCCGAGCTCAGAGCAGCCTCCCAGAGGTGGTACTGGGCCTCTGGGTGCTGTGTTGGGTGCTCCTGCCACCGCCTTTTGGTCCCTCCAGCTTGTCAGCAGTTAGGAGGTGGGGGAGAGGGTGGTGTCAGAAGGAGGGGAACCAAACCAAGTGACTCCTCTTTCCCGGTGTTTCCATCATCTTTTGGGAACTAATATCTCTCGTAAAACATAAATACTTTCCAATGACTGGAGATTCTTCCACCTCACTTCTGTTTTTATTTTTTCTGTTAAATTTAAGCAACGTGGGGAAAATACCTGGTGGCAGTGGTTGTTCTTCTGGGGAGGGGTCAGGGCCCGGGTTTGTCTGGAAGGAAGTAAATTATCCCCAGAAAACCCTGCTGTGTGTGCAAATTTGTATTGTGGTGAACCAACTTGAAACAAATATTTATAAACACATAGACTGACCATTGGCAGTAACAAGGGAGTAAGGCAGGGAGGACCTGGATGGCGCAGCCACGTCCCTGGGTTGGCTGGTGGAGGCCAGCTCCCTTCCCAGGCTGCCTGCCCTTACCTGCTCCATCTGGCCCTCTGTGCTCCTTTGGGCTGATTTCAAGATTCACGCCTCGTCCCCAGCTGTCCCAAATGCCAGCAGCCTCATTCCAGGATCCAAAATTCTATGAAGGGCTGGTTCAAAGGGCCGGAGCAGGGACTTTCCTGGTGGCGCAGTGGATAAGACTCCGTGCTCCCAATGCAGGGGACCTGGGTTCTATCCCTGGTCAGGGAACCAGATCCCACATGCATGCCACAACTAGGGATCCTGCAAGCTGTAACTAAGACCCGGTGCAACCAAATAAATAAATATTTTTTTTAAAAGGGGGTGGGCCTGAGCAGGATGGGCACTTGTGAGGAGTGTGTACATCACAAAGATGTCCTCACGTCCCCTCTTTTCCCCAAAGTCCCCAGGGTCCATCATATCAGTGTGGCTCTCTGACCACCTCTGGCTCTGTGGGCGTGGCACCTGCATCCCTCATTTAATGTGTTCCTTGCATCAACCCAATTCTTTTTTCCAAGTTAAATATATTCATCTCCCTTCTAAGCAAAACGTGTAATGAATACGAGATTTAACATTTTTATGAAACATTATAAATGATGACATATGCTGTGATCCCATCTTTTTTTAATAAATTGATTGATTGATGGATTGATTGATTCATTGATTGGCTGTGTTGGGTCTTCGTTGCTGTGTGTGGGCTTTCTCCAGTTGTGGAGAGCGGGGCTACTCTTTGTTGCGGTGCGCGGGCTTCTCATTGCGGTGGCTTCTCTTTGTTGCAGAGCACAGGGTCTAGGTATGCGGGCTGCAGTCGTTGTGGCACGTGGGCTGCAGTAGTTGTGGCTCGCAGGCTCTAGAGTGCTGGCTCAGTAGTTGTGGTGCACGGGCTTAGTTGCTCCGAGGCACGTGGGATCTTCCCGGACCAGGGCTCAAACCTGTGTCCTCTGCATTGGCAGGTGGATTCTGAACCACTGCGCCACCAGGGAAGTCCCGATATGATCCCATCTTAACGAGAAGTTTTCTTTCTGTGTCATCTACACCCACACCGGCTGACGAGGCATGGATAGACATGGAAGCATATTTTTTATTTGCTTTGCTCTCTTCTCTCCACCATTCTGTATTGCTTGAATTTTTTTTTAAATTGAAAAAATATGGACCGTTTCACAAATCTGCGTGTCGCCCTTGCACAGGGTCATGCTAATCTCTGTATCATTCCAATTTCATATATGTGCTGCCAGAGGGAGCACCAGACAGCATCACTGAGACACAGTCCGATGTCAGAGATAAACACAGCTGGATGGTGAAGTGCAAAGGGCAGGTTCTAATCAGCACTATACTCGCAGTGGGGACAATTCCAGGGTGAATTGAACTCAATTTCGATTTGTGTGGCGGTGACTGGTGTTTTAAAGTGAGAATGTGGGAATTGGGAGGGGTAGCTTAGTGGAGTCAGGCAGCAGACAGTTAAAGCATGCAGGCGCCTGGACCCTGAGGCCCCCATCTGGTTCATGAACAGCGCTTGTCCAAGGTAAGCCTCTGTTTTCCCACAGAGACCCGAGATGCCCGTCCTCAGGCGGGCACTTTAAGGGGGGCTGGAGTCACCCCGGGGATGCGGCTTGAGCTGTCAGAAACCAAGGCTTTCTAGGCCTGATGCAGAAGCAGGCCCAGAGGAACCTGGCTAGAGTTTGGTCAAGGAGCGAAAACCTTGGTTACCACATACCATACAATCCCTCCATTCAAAGTGCACAATTTGGGCTTCCCTGGCGGCGCAGTGGTTAAGAATCTTCCTGCCAATGCAGGGGGCACGGGTTCAAGCCCTGGTCCAGGAAGATCCCACATGCCGCGGAACAACTGAGCCCGCGAGCTACAACTACTGAGCCTGCCTGCCACAACTACTGAAGCCCACGTACCTAGAGCCCGTGCTCCCCAAAAAGAGAAGCCACTGCAGTGAGAAGCCCATGCACCACAAAGAGTAGCCCCCGCTCACCACAACTAGAGAAAGCCCGTGCACAGCAACAAAGACCCAACGTGGCCAAAAAAAAGTAGATTTATTTAAAAAAAAATAAAGTGCACAATTCAGTGATTTTTAGTATATCCATAGAATTGTGCGACCATCACTATACTACATTTGGAACATTTTCATGAGTCCAAAAGGAAACCAGTCTCCTTCAGTAGTCACTTCCCCCTTCCTCACACCCCATCCCGGCTCCTGGCAACCACTAATCTACTTCCTGTCTCTGGATTTGCCTGATCTGGACACTTCATACAAATGGAATCACATAATAATATGTGGTCTTTAGTGACTGGCTTCTTCCACCCAGCGCAGCGTAATGTTTTCAAGGTTCATCTATGCTGTAGTGCGTCAGCGTTTCCTTCCTTTTTATGGCCAAATAGTATTGCATTGTACAAAATATACCACATTTTACTTATCTGTTCATCAGGGAACGGACATTTGGGCTGTTGCCACCTTTTCGGCGTTATGAGTAATGCTGTTCTGAAGATGCCTGTGCAAGTTTCTGTGTGGATGTGTGTTTCTGAGCCCCTGTAGCAACCGGCCCAAACTTGGCCAACACCTGCCAGCTTCCCTAATTTCTGCCTCCGCTTCCAGCTCAGGACCAATCAGAGAAAGCCAAGTAGGCTCCCCTAAGCAACCACACAGGTTGCAGCACCTCCAGTTGGCCGCCCACAGCTTCCCCGAGCCCACTCGGGGCGCACCTGAGCCCCCCTTTCACTATGAAGCTGGCCCCTCCTCTGCCTGCCTTTGAGTCTCTGCCAACATGCAAGTGATGGGGCTGTCTCCCTGCTACAGCAAGCTGAGTACACAGCCCCGCTTGTTCTCATTTGCAGGGTCTTCGTTCATTTCTACAAGGTTTATAGTTTCAGCTTTGTGATCCATTTCCAGGCGGTTTGTGCATGTGTGTGGGAGGGTCCAAGCTCATTCTCCACGTGGATGTCCAAAACCATTTGTTGAAAAGACCGTCCTTCCCTGCTGCCTTGTCTTGGCACCCTTGTTGAAACTTCTTGACAACGGCTACTCATTGTGTAACTTTTTGTAAACGATCGTCTTTCTTTAAGAAAGAAAGGTGGAGATTGAGTCATGAAATGCTGAACTTGCTTCCCTGCCAGAGTGTGAAATCCATGCTTCCTTACCTGGGGTCAGGTGACCTGCAGGTGGGGCCGGCCCACTGCTTAGCTCACCTTCTCAGGCTGGTTCTGAACCCACAAAAGTGGAGAACTCCCTGGGGAAGGGCCTTGCCCCTGACCTGCCCCAACCTTCCTGCTGCCCCCGGTCTGTCTCGTTTTCTTTCCCCCCTCTGTGCCCCTGTCCAGGAAGCTGGGCCTCTGCAGGGCGGGTGGGCAGGCACTGTGCCCGAAGCCCACCCCCATGGCCTACCTGGAAACCTAGCATCCCTTCACTACCCTCTGCACCCCCACCCTGCAGTGCCCCACCCCAAACCAGACTGGGCTCCTCCCCCCACCACACACTGGTCCAGGGAGCGCCACATAAACTGGCTGGGCTGGAAGGAGGCTGGTGAAATGCCAACTTCCCGGCTTGCCCGGGCACTTTCGCAGGCAAGGAAAGAGGATCCCAACGCTCCAAACCAAAGCAGCTTTCAGGACAGAGAACGCGGCCCTGTGTGGTCAGCATTTCTGAACTACGCTGCCTTTTCAACCTGCCAGGGGTCCGAGACAAGCAGCCTGCCCCACGAACAGCCACGTGCCCTCACCGCTCCCGCTTTACAGTGTGGGCTCTGGGTTCCAGCCGCTTCAGTGGGGCTCCAGCCTGAGCGCGGGGGCAGCATCAGGCCAGACCCAGGGCGAGGCTCCTTGTGAGACCCCCCCACCCCCCCACCTGCCCAGGGCCCAGGAAGTCTGGCCCGCACCCCAGCCCCCCACACCGACCATGCATTTCCAGGCCAGTAGCTGCCTCGCGCCCAAACGCTGAGGCAGGACATGCACTCCATACCCTGTACAGTAGCCCAGAAATGTGACCCTAATCCAGATCCATCTGCTGGTTTTAGGAAATTCACAGACGGAGGAAGGAGAGGCAGCTGGATCAAGGACCTGGCTTATCCTGTGAAGAAAGGATGGGGAGGGGACGCCGGCAATAGAGAGATGTGAGTAGGAGACCTCAGCTGGACTGGATTCAAACGAAACCAACTTGACAACACGCATGTGGCAACCGAGAAATCTGATGATGGTAACACGGGCCACTTTGTTTCCTACGTGTTAGTTACTATTGTAGTTATGTTAGATTTTCTTAAAGAGCATTTTCAGAGACTTGTGAAGTATTTATCTATAAATGACAGGACATCTGGGATTTGCTTCCAAATAATCCAGGGGTGGGGAGGGTCTGTGGGGTGTGAACACCTCAACATGAGTCTGGTGAGAGCTCACCGCTGAGGCTGGGGTGGGGGTGGGGGCATGTGGGTTTTATTTTTTATTTTTTTGCGGTACATGGACCTCTCACTGTTGTGGCCTCTCCCATTGCGGAGCACAGGCTCCGGACGCGCAGGCTCTGCGGCACGTGGGATCTTCCCGGACCGGGGCACGAACCCGTGTCCCCTGCATCGGCAGGCGGACTCCCAACCACTGCGCCACCAGGGAAGCCCTGTTGTTTTTTAAAGTAACAGCTTTGTTGCGATATAGTGGTTATCAGGTTACAGAGCTGTGCAACTATCACCACGACCTAAAATTCTACTTTTTATCTGCTTGAAATGCTCCACAGTTCTCCTTGCTTCACGGCTGGGGTGCCAGAGGCGTTGATGTCTGAATGAACTGCCCAGGGCATCTGTCCTGTCCCCTGGCTGGGGCAGCAGGAGCCCTGGGGCAGCTTCCACCTGTCCTGGGACATCAAAAGGCCTCAGGATGGTACTCTCACCAGCTCCTGCCCTAGCCTGTCTGTCTGAGGGTCTGCAGCCCATAGAACCAGGGTCTCCCAGGCCCTTCTGGGTTTGCTGGACAATAGGCCAGTGTCCAAAACCCCAGGGCTCTGACTCAAGGGGCACCTCTAGGGAGACCAGCCAGTCCTACTGGGAACTCTTATTCCTAGGGGGTTTGTAGCACCAGATGCTTGCTGGGAAGGGGCAGCCCTGTGGGATCCACAGTGACCTGGATCCAGGACCTCAACACTGACCACCCCTAAATGTGCAGGCCCTGCTCTCGCCCCAGCCATCTGTCCACAGGCCATCCCAGTGTACCCAGGCAGGGCTGCAGCTTCTCCCCTCCTCTGGGCCCTACTCCTCCATAAACCCAAGAGCTCTCCTTGGAGGGTGCAGAGGATGGTCTTGTAGCCTGAGACAGCGAGGCAGACTAGTTAGTGGCCTGGACACAGAAACCAGACCCAGCACTTCACCGTCCTTTATTAACACCCCTGTAGGGCGACGTGGAAGTGCTGGCCACTTGCTGGGGGGGCGGGGGGTGTGGCACAGTGGCCAGGTGACTGGGGGAGGCGGACAGATGCAGCTCCCAGCCCATCTGCAGGCTGCTGTGGCAGTGGAACCTGGGCAGTGGCGTTTTGGCTGATCAGCTGCTGGGGACCTTGCAAGTGACCGCTGTGTAGACAGGAGCCCCTGTGGACATGCCACTCCTGCTCAGGGAGCCAGGAGGGGACACTGCCCGCTCCATGAAGGCAGCAGCCGCCTGCTGGCACTGAGAGGTTTTGGTGAAACTGATTGATTGTTAAAGCAACTGGGGATGGGCTGGACCGGGGGGGCAGGGGTGTGGGGCACCTGTGGGTCACACCCAGACCCTCCCTCCTGGGTACTCATTCTGCCCTGGCCCGGCAGCTGTGGGTGCGCAGCTACCTTTGAGAACATCATAAAAGCTATGGTCCCTCTCCTGGGATGAAAGTGCAGGTGCACGGGTCATTTGGTGAGCGATGCCGGGGGTCCACACCCCCACTCTATCACCCAGGTCCTCGGTGGAAGCTGCTGGAAGACAGTGCTGGGGGCCCTGGGCTTAGTGAAAGGAAGAGACTACAGGGGCTGGAGACTCCAGACTGCAGAAAGCCTGGACAGCCTGCCCCTCCCAACTCCAGGGTTAACTGCCTACTTGGGGAGAGAGAAAACTGAACCTGGGGCCTAGACACCTTCCTCTGAGGGAGTCACTGGTGTGCAGAGGAGGCCGCTGGACATCAGGTGGGGAGAGCCTGGGGTGGGCAGCAGGGGGTGGAGGTGTGGGCAGCAGCTCAGGAGGGGACGATGGTTACTGGGCTGGCCAGGCAGGCTGGGGCGGGGGTCCTGAGCCAGGGAGGAGGGGGTCGGAGCACGGCGGGCAGGTGCTGGGCTCAGGGCAGCGCTCAGCTGCTGACCCTCCAGGACTCTGGAAAATACTGGGGCAGGGGGCTGGGCATGACCCATCTGCTCCTACGGCCACATCAGGACGGCACTTTGATGCCGAAGTGTTTGCGAAGCTGCTCCAGAAACACAAACGTGAGTACGGTGTGGGGCATGAGGCGGATGCCGGCAGGCACGAGGCCCTGAGGGAGAGAGGAGGGGGGATGTGAAGATAGCCCTGGAGGGAACCCCCCTGCCCTGCCCCCCTGCCCCAGCCACGCCCCTGCTTAACCTTGTAAAAGGCCAGCGGCCCAAGCTTCGCTGTCTCCATGGCACAGTGCAGAACACCCTGCAAAAAACGCAAGATAATGCAATAAGATGGAAAGCTGCTTCTCGAAAGGCACAAACGCCCACCCCCCACCCCCGCACCTGATGGCAGGCATGAGTGTGCAAAGCAGCCTGCAAGTTCAAAGGTAAACACGGGAGGTGGGGTTGGCAGGCACAAAGGTCAAGGGCTGCCCTGCCCACTAACCAGGCAAAACTAGAATCTGAAAAACCACCCAGGGCCAGGCTGACCTGCCAGGCACCTACGGTGCTTGAGCGGCTGCCATAAAGGCACAGAAGACACTGTGCGTGATGGAGGGAGCCTCGGACAGGTGCTTGGCCCCAGGCGCTGGACCTGCCGACCTGCACCGTGCCGAGTTTCACTGACTGCAGTGATCCAACTGCCTCTGTTAACGAGTCAAAGAATCTGATTTAAAAACACATACAGGTGGCTTCCCTGGTGGCACAGTGGTTAAGAATCCACCTGCCAATGTAGGGAACACAGGTTCGAGCCCTGGTCTGGGAAGATCCCACGTGCTGCAGAGGAACTAAGTCCGTGCGCCACAACTACTGAGCCTGCGCTCTAGAGCCCACGTGCCAACTCCTGAAGCCTGCACGCCTAGAGCCCGTGCTCTGCAAGAAGAGAAGCCACCGCAGTGAGAAGCCCGCGCACCGGAACGAAAAGTAGCCCCCGGCTCGCCGCAACTAGAGAAAGCCCGCGCGCAGCAACAATGGACCCAACACAGCCAAAGATAAATAAATAAATAAACAAATTATTTAAAAAAAACAAAAACACACACAGAGCCCAGGCTGCTGCAGGCCTGACGGCAACCGGGAGGGATGCAGTCATGGGTGGAGGGGCAGAGCCTCATCCACACCCTGGCACAAGGACACAGGCTCACCCAGCAGCAGCAGCAGGGCGAGGCCCCCACTCACCTGATACTCGCCCTTGGCATTCATCAGCCGGGTCTTCAGCACATCCAGGGGCTGGCACAGGAATGTGGCGCATCCACCCTGGAAGGCAGGTCGTCGCCAATGGGTCTGCCAGGCAGGGCGGGTGGGCACCCCTCACCTCCCTCACTCCCCTCACCTCCCTCACCCCCCTCACCTCCCTCACCCCCCTCACCACAGGACTATCCTGGACCCCCAGGGCCATGGAGGACAACAGGAACAGTCTTGGCCTGGGCTCTGGGGGAATCCATGGCCTCCTCCCCAGGACCCTGGCGCCTACTAATGCAGCCTGAGAGGGGCAGCCGCCAGATGGGCCAAAGCCTCCTGCCGTTCTGAGCCCTTGCTCATCCCAGGCGCCCTCAGCTCCCAAGGCTGGTCAGGGCCCCACCCCCGCCACTCACCGCAATGAAGCTGGCGATAAAGTGAGTGAAGATGCTGTCGGACAAGTACCCCGTGCTGAGAACCAGCTGCTTGGCTTGGTCATAGCAGGACAGCTGTTGGGGGAGCAGGGATGCTCAGGGCCCAAGGGACAGCCCACAGCTCAGGGGAAAGCAGATGGGGCCCACGATGACACCAGCTGGACTGGCCAAGTACATGCTCTGTGGGTCATCCACCGTCACCACACCTGGGCGGACAGATGAGGCCCAGGCCGGCCTGAGCCCACCTCCCCGGCCCCATGTGTGTTTGTGCCCACTGCCTTCCTCTGGGACCTCTCAGAGGGCTGCGACCAGGCCCCCCAGATGCTGCCCGAGTCCCACCCCAAGCGGAAGCCCTACCTGGCCCACGGTGACCAACATCCCTCGACTGGACGCCATAGTTGCGCCCGAGAACAGCTTCTTCAGACCCTCTGTCGGGGGAAGGGAAGAGGTTGGGTGCCCGGCCCAAACCCCTCCGGCCTCCCCCCAAGTCCTTAACAGCGCTCTCCCTAGGCCCGCTCCTGGGTCCCAGCTGGAGGCTGCCCCAGGCCCCCACCGTGCAAAGGACCTCCCCTCTCACCTTCTCGGGCCACGCGGTACAGGCCGTCCAGGGCGTGGGCATAGCTGCCAGGGGACAGAGAGTGGGCCCATGTGAAGCTCTTCCTGACCACTGGCTCCCTTGGGAAGGTCCTCCCCATCACAGGCCATGCCCCCATCACAGGCCAGGAGGAAGTCAAAGTGCCACAGGGGCCAGAGAACAATGGCCTTTTCTGACAGCTCAGAGCAGTCTCCCTGCTCAGGGGACTTCAGGGCCTGAAGATCCCAAGTTCCACAGGAAAACACCCTCTGTTGGGGGGGGGGCGCGGGCTGCCAGCTCTGAGGCTAGTCCTGTCTGCAGGCCGTTACCAGGGGCGAGAGGATGGGACGCCGTGCCGGGCCCCCTTCCCCACAGCCTATGCTCTGGCCAGCGAGTGGCCAGTGGGGTCACCTGGAGCCACACTTCTCCCTGAACTGGCTGATACCAGTGCCCAGCGTTTATCACAGCATCGGTCCATAAACAGGGCCTCAGAATCCAGTGTCTTAGGTTTCACGCAAAACGGTGTTTTTACCACGAAAACAACCACCCAGCCAGCTCCCAAACCCTTTTGAAGACCAAACTCATTTAAACTTCTAAACCACCCTTCATGCAAACGTGCACAGGTGCAAGAAGGAGTAAAGAGTGACCAACCCCTGCCCACCTCCCAGTCCAGCCCCCAACCCCGGGGTCCTCCCACAGGGGAAGAAGAACCCAGAGGTCCTGGAAGCCCCCTCAGGATTCCAAAACAGACTCTCACAATGTATGATTCCAAAGGCTGTCAGCCGCCCGACCTGCTCCCCGTGACCCCACAGGAGCGGTACCCTGTTGGAGTCCCCACCGGGTCCCGGCAGAGCTGCTCAGGGGTCTTCTCAGCCCCATCCCCCAAACCCCCGGGCACACCATGCTACTCACTTTCGGCGCTGATTCTGAGGCAGCTTCATGTCATTCTGCATCCTGAAACAAGCAGAGGGTTCAGGGGGCGGCAGGGCCAGACGCCCCACAGACCCCAGCAGGCGTCAGGGGCTCCCTCTGGCAGTGAGCAGCCGGCCCCGCCCAGGGCTGCCCCGCCACAGGCTCAGCGCCATCCCCCAGTGCCCCAGACCCTGAGGTCTGAGTGGCTTGTTCCAGGCTGAACACACTGAGACCCCAGCGAGCGAGGCCGGCCCCACCAGGGGACAGCAAGACCCCAGCCTCGGGGACTGCACTGACCTGACGTTGACCATGTCCGCGGGGGTCCCCACGAAACCGCCGATACAACCTGTCACAACAGCCAACATGTGACCATTGGCAAGGGGTCACATGACCCCCGCCCCACCTGCCCCGCCGCTGCCCACCCGGCTGCTCACCACTGATGGAGCCCAACAAGACCTTCTTGTAGAAGGGCAGGGGGCCCTCGCTGCCCTTGGTTACCTGGTCCCGCACGGTCTCATAGATGGCAAATCGAGTCAGGGAGTAGGTCATCTGGGGAGAAGGGGCCCAGCTCAGAGGGTGCAGGGGGAGGGAAGGCGCTGGGCACCCCCCACACCCCTGGCCCTCCAGTGCATCGTCGTCACCACGTGGACCACAGGGACACCCAGGGACCTCTCGGCCAGCAAGCAGCTGAGCCAATTCGTGAACCCAGGGCTGGCTGAGTCCAGGCCCCGCACCCTCCTCTTCTCCCGCCTCGCCCCTGCCAGCCTCAGTATCCCCATCTGTAGGCGGAGGTCTCGGGCCGGCTGTGAGAGCATGGCCAACCCTGTGCAAGGCAGAAGCACATCTCACACTGCCACGCCCTGCACCCACCCGGGGGGCTGCTGGCTCCCCAGGCCTTACGGTTCCTTCCTCCTAAGCAGCCTTGAAAAGGAGAAAGTAGCTTCCATGCCCACAGGGCATCCACGGTGGACAAGAGGCGCGACTGGCCTGGGGGAGGCCAGCGATCCCTCTGCCTCCTTGGGCTGAGTGTGGGCTCTGGGATCAAGACCTAAGGGACCCCTGGCCGTGAGTCCCACCCACCCACTACCCCGGGAGGTGGGGAGCCCCCCAGAGGTACCTGTCTGCACAGGGAGGCGCTCAGCCCATTGTAGAGAGCCAGGATGCCATCGGAGCGCACCACCTGCAGCGCCATCCCCGTCATGCGCAGCTTCACCTCCTGCTGCGTCTGTAGATGCACCTGTGGGGAAGCGGGTCGCACCTGCTCAGAGCCACGGCCCATCTGGAGCTGACCAGGGCCAGCTCTGCTCTAAGCCCTTTTCCACAATCTTCCACCTTTACATGCTGAGCCTGTGGGCCAAGTGCTACCAGCACCCGCATTTAGAGACAGGAAACTGAAGCCTTAAAGGGCACCAGCTGGGGAGTGGAGCCGGGACTGTGTCCACGGCTGGCGCCAACCTCTTTTTCACACCACCATCTCACAAGAGACAATACCAGCCGACATGTGAGCCCAATTCCACCTGCCATGGGGTGGAGTCGTCAGCTCCACCCTTTAGATGAGGACACTAGGCAACTCCAGGGCCCCACTTTGTAGCCTCGCCTGCCTCTCGACAGAGGCAGAGTTAGGGGGGCTCAGAGTTGACCTGAAGAAACATGGGAGACTCGGAAGAGGTGGGTGAGAATCCGGGGGCGCACAGGGGGAAGGGCGCCTCAGAGTCCATCCCTGCAGCACACTCTCCAGCCAAGTCAGGTCCTGGCTGGACCCGCGGAGGCAAGTTACTGATTCTTCTGCCTCAGTTTCTCTCAGTGTGCTGTGAACTGGGAACAGAAGGCCCTCTGGGCCTGGGGGCAGGGCGGCCACACAGCAGCCTCTGTGAAGGCGAGAAGCCACGGTGAGGGTTCAGCCAAGACGTGGGGCAAAGGCAGAGCTCGAGGAGTTTTAAGATACTTTTTCCAAAGACGATGACGAGAAGTAAAAACCCTGGCCAGGGCCTCCCCTGCTGGAGGCCTCCATGGCTGCCGGCACCGCCCGCTTCACCCCAGCACGGGGCTGTGTGCTCCCTGGGCCAGAGGGCGGCCACATTCCTGTGTCTGCCGGCCTCCCAGACTCCCACCCCCACCCCAAGCGCTCTGCAGCAAAATAGCACCTGGGTGGAAGGGAGGGGGCAAGGGGCAGTGACGCCCCAAGGAGCCTTGGACAAGTGACTCTAGGCTGGCCCAGGGCCAGGGAGGGCTCCAAGAGCCCTCGGAGGCTGTGTCCACATCCAGGCAGAGACAGTGAGCCTGATCCTCCCGAGCCTGCGATGGGGGAGGCAGGAGGGCAAAGGGACCTGTACGGGCATCCAGAAAGTAAAACAAAACAGGAATGAGAAGGGGTTCCTCTCTCCACAAACCAAAAAGCACCTTCCTACCTGGCCCTGCTCTGCCAGGCCACGTCACAGGCCCTGGGGGCTACCAGGAGCCATGCAGGCCTCTCCCAGGTCTCTAAATGCCAGAGGGGCTACCAGCTTCAGCCCCATCCCCAACATCTGCTAATCCTGCTTTTCCTGGTGGCCAGGCTTGATGGGTGGCTGGGTCAGCCCAGGACACAGGTGCCAATCCCTCCCAGGGGGCCAATGTGGGGTGCAGGCTGCTCTGGGTGGGGATAAGGAAGGGGGTGGCCAGGGGGCTGCCCTTGCCAACAGGCCCCACAAGACCACAGCCCAGGTTCCCTGGCCCAGGGCCCACTGGCCAAAATTTGCTTTGTGCCTCTGGCCCTTCTTTGTTGTTTGTGGTGAGGAAAGGGCAGAAAATTGGCCTGCCTCAGGGACAAGGGAGTCTCTGTCTTGTTCTGCCCCATAAGCATTTCTTCAAAAAAACGCAGAAACAGTGATTGCTTCTCCCTGGGAGAAACAATCACCTTCACTGGGCAGGACCTGCATGCAGCCTTGGGATCATGGCTTCCAGATGCCCACCTCCCAGGAAGAAGCAGCCCAAAGCAAGGTTGCCGGCCACATCCTTCCTCCGTCTCTGTGTGTGTGCTTGGCACCCAGTAGGCAGAGGGAGCGCATGGTCCTGCCGGGGTGCCTCCAGCTGCGCTCAGAGAACCACCCCCTCAACGTGTCAGCCAGGAGAACGAGTGTCCTCAAAAGTGCAGGGTAAAGTGCCTCAGAGAGGCCAAGGGACCAGTCCAAGGTCACACAGGTAGCAAAGTGGGGACCATGGGGCACCTCCGCCGCCCGCTCCACGCAGAGCCTCTCGGCGGACCCTCCCCGCGCCGCACTCACCTTGACCAGGTCCAGCGGGTGCGTGCAGCAGGCGGCCCCGCACGACGCCAGCCCACCGAAGTACCAGCGCGACACGCGCGCCTCGGCCGCCATGGCCCGGACGCCGCCGCCACCGCCGCCGAGGAGCGTAGGTGTCCGGCCCCGACCCCGACACAGCCCTTGAAGCCCGGACACCAGCCCCGCCCCAGCCGCAAAACGGCCCGTTCCGCGCCGCCGCCCGTTCAAAGGGCTGCCGGCCACCCGCGCCCCGCACAGCCAATGCGCCCGCGCGGCCCGGGGGAGGAGCCGAGGGGGCGGGGCCCTTAAGACCCCGCCCCGAGCCCGGGGGCGGGGCCCCCGCCTTAAAGCGGCCGCGGCCGGCAGGTCAACCTTGTGGGCCCCACAGAGCCGCCTAGAGGACCCCCACTGGTGTGGGCCGCGCGAACCGCAGGGAGCTAGCGGGTGAACCTCCCTCACTCCCCCCAGGGACCTGCGTCCTCCCCCACCCTGCGCCGGCCAGCCCGCGGGGCCGCCCTGGAGCCTAGGGCACGTCTGCGAAGGTCACGGCCCGAGTGGCCTGGGCGCTCTGCCAGCCCCCACCCCTCCTAGAGGCCTGCCTCCCGTAAGTGCCCGCCCCCTGTCGCGGCCCTGGACTTGCACCCAGTGTCCCACCCCCGCGGCGCAGACTCCGGGACGCGTACAGCTGCTTAGAGGTTGCGGCAAACCTCCTTAGGACCAACCTGCGGATTACAGGAAAACTAGGGACAAAGGCAATTCGGAGAGACTAGCCGCCCCGCCTACCCGCCCCTCCCAGAACGCCCAGCCAATTCCAGCCTTAGGCCTGCTCTGACCACACGGCCCCAGGCAGCTACCCTGAGGCGGCCCAGGAGAGGGCTTTGGGGCGTGGGGCTCAGGCTCCTGGGAGGCGGCAATCAGCAAACTGCCTGCCCCAGCCTGGCCCCAGCAGGAGATGCACATCTCCCAGCAAACCGGAAGTGCAGGTGTGCAGCTAGCCCAAAGGCGCACCTGCCAGGCAGAGAAATCTGAGTCCCCAGGGCCGCTTTTGGGTGGGGCTACATGGACCTCGGGGGAGGCAGAGGCAGAGATCCCTGCACTAGTAAGGACCTATATCCTGCTGTCCTAGCTTGGCCACTGCAGCCCCCACCCCAAGGGAGAAGGGTGACAGGCATCAGGGAAACAACCCCTGGCCCCCTGGGCCCACCGAGCACCCTGAATAACAAGTCCAGCCTGGTCTCTGAGCACCCAGTGATTCTCTGTGAGAGGCATTAGGTGCCTGAGCAAACCCTGCTATTTGCTTAAAGCGGCCACCTGGAGACTAAGGAAACTGAGTCTTCCAGAACCCCAGGAGGCCTTGACCCCTGTCATCAGTTGGGAACATGAACAGCTGGCTCCAGATTTCCAGCCCAGAAATGCCAAGGAGCCCAGGGTGGGGCAAGGGGTAGTGCTTTGCTGAAAGGGCAGTTGGAAATGTGGGAGGAATCCTGGAAAACGGGAAGTGCCCCGAGACTGGAGCACCCTTTTTAGAAAAAGGTGGATTGTGCAAACTATAGGTCACGGAACTCAAAAAGATCCCAGATTCTCAAACGGATCCTAAAGACTTGTGCAGAAGTCTGAGAGAGTGATGGGGAGGTCAGGCGAGGGCTTAAGGACAGGGCTGCCAGGCCAGGCCTCTCTGGGATCTGGTGTCTGTGCTGCGGCATTTACACATTTCCTCTTGGTGCCTGGGCAGGGAGGATGGAGCCATGTGGGTAGCCTGGCAGACGCCAGCGTCCCTGGAATTGGCCGGGAGGGGGGTGGGGGTGTCTATGGGGGTGAGAAGCACGTGAGTCAGCTCTGGATCTCCCTCTGCTGCGTCCTCTGTGACCATTTCATGAGCCTGGACGAAGGCCAAATCCTACCAGGCTCCGATGGAATCTTGTAAGGTCTTGCACGGGTTTCAGCAGGGCAACTCAGGATGCCCAGCAGACCCACCTCCTAACGCCAAGCCTAAGGGCCAAGTGGGCTCCAGGGACCCAGGGTGATCCCCAGTGGCACACTCCACCCATTTCCAGGTGTGAGGCACTTTAGGGCCACCTACAGGCTGGAGCAGATCAGGGGGAGGTGGAGGGGCCAGGACCCCCAACAGGAGGCCTGGGCCAGGGAGCTGCCTGGGAAGGCAAGGCCCAGGATCTTCACAGAGCCTTCAGGTAGGACTTCAAGGTCAGGTGGGAGCACCATGGCAGCATCCCATGTGTTGTATACAAGGCGGGAGAAGTCGGGCCCGATGGTCCCAGAGGTGCAGTCACCCGCAGCATGGAACAGAGGGCCCCATCCTTGGGGGGTGGGGTGAGGGGAGCCCCAGTTGTCACACCAGCTGCCCTGGAAAGATGGAGGAGCTCAGAGCATAAGCAGCCTTTCCAGGTCACTGGCGGGTGGGGGAGCCCCCGTGACCACGAATGCCTGGGCTGGGGGGTGTCCCTGGGCCTGGAACCACTCCCTGCCCCTAGGAAAAGGCAGCAGGATCAGCAGGCCACACCCAGCCCCAGGTGGCCAACAGTCCCCTCTGCTAAGAAAAGGCACACCCAGAGATCTGCTGCTGGCGAATCAGTAACCTCATGGGCCACAGGCTTGGCCAGTGGGGCTCTCTGGTCAAGGGGCTGCCTACCCTGTCCTTGGACCCTTCCTACAATGAGGGCCAGCCGGGGGCACGTCCTCAAGGAGGACACCTAGGTGGCGTGGGGGATGCTGGGCACACCCACCTGGGAGCCTGGCAGCTCCTGGGCCTGTCCTGAGCCATCCCACCGAGAGGGTGGCATTCCCAGACCTAGTGTCCCCTTCTGGTCCCTCAGAGCCAAGGGAGGGGGCTCCAGGTAGGACCTGGAGACCCAGGCCACAAGGGGTGGGCCCCCATGGGTCACAGGAACCATGTGCCTTCCCAGAGTGGACACTCAAAATGCCCTGCAGCCACCTGCCCTCCCGCTCTGCCCAAAGCCCCAGGGGCCTCCTGCCATGGGCCAGTGAGGAAGGAATCTACCGCCCCCTCCCGGGCCCCGCTGAGATGGAGCTTCCCCAAGAGAAGGAAGACAGGGGTCCTTGGAGCAGGAGGGCACTAGGCAGGGCCTGAAGCTCGGGCGGCCACGGCCATCTGTAAACACCACTCTGGCACCAGGCCACCTCTCGCACCTCGCCCCTGGCTCCACGACACAGCTCCCTGAGCCCCCTCTAAGGGAGCAGCTGACACCAACTGCTGCAGGTTGCAAAACACATCCTCCTGCCTGCTGGGCAGCCTCTCACAGGGCTGCTGTGCCCACTTATGGTACACACCTCACTCCCACCTGCCCAGGCCAGGGGCTGCATGTGCTATTGAAGACCGCCAAAGTTTAAGGGCAAGGAGTTCCACAGGCGCCCCACACCAGCTCCCAGGTGAAGATCTGGTACCAGCCACGCAGCAGCTGCTGCCCCTGCAAGCAGGACAGGCAATGCCCAGAGCCCCCTGTGCTGCCTCTGGGCTGCTGTCTGCAGTGGGATTTCAGAGGACAGCCCCCTGCATATAGTGCCCACCTGACAAACAACTCCACACACAGGGCCTGGACAATGCATTTTTCCCAGCAGCCACAGCGGGGCATGTACACTCTTGGTAGTTTCTAGAGTCCTCCCTGGGGCTGAACGGGCAGTGGCTGCCCCTCCCTCTCCATCTCAGCAGGTCCATCCACATCTGTCCCAGAACGGAGTTGGCCATGTAGTGCGGGTGCCCAGTTCTGCTCCGAGGCCACTCTGTCCGCTGAGCCTGGGTGCTTCACGAGGAGCAGGTAGAGCCCCCCTCGGGGCCCGGGACCCCTGTCCACAGTCCTCTGGGCGGCTACTCCAGAACCACGGTGCCGCCCACCGCCTCTAGGGCCGCCTTGATCTTCTCGGCCTCGGCCTTGGCCACATTGGCTTTGATTTCCTGAGGCAGGGATTCCACCAGCTTCTTTGCCTGCCAGAGAGCAAAGTCAGAACCTGGCCTGGGCCTGGGCAGGCCTGAGAGCTGTCAGTGACGGTGGGAGAGGGCTGTGCGGCGCACGGAGCCTCACCTGGACGAGGTTGATGCCCTGGACGAAGTTCTTGATTTCCTTGATCAGTTTCACCTTGTCCACAGGTTTTGCCTCTGTCAGGCGGACGGTGAAATGCGTCTGTTCTTTTGGTTTGGGGATGTCTTCTTCTGCTGCCTGGGGGATGGAGGAAGGGAGGAAGTGGGTGGCGAGATGAGAAAGGATGGGGTGAAGCAAGCAGATTCACTCCTGGGCCACCATGTCCTGTAACCCCAAAGGCAAGGCCCAGGCCGGCTGCCCAGCAAAGCCTACGATCCCAGTGGGAGGCCACAGCAGGCCAGGTAGACCCAGGCTGCCCAACTGGGCGCTCTTCCTCCCTCACCCACTCCGCTCCATCTCTCCAGAGGCTGCTCGAAAACTGCCTTCTGTCCCCACCACCCAGCACTCTAGTTTCCTTGTCCTTTAAAAATTGTAACTTACGAGACAAGGAAGAGCGACACCAAAAGTGCTCTGCACATAAAATAACGCTACAGAAAAGCAGTGTTGGTGCAGTGGTCAGCCAAGCCCAAGGTTACATACTGATGACAAATATACAATCAGCTTCAGCTCCACCAAATGACCAACGATGGGACGACCGGGCATGACAGAGCTCCTACTGTCACGAGTGAAGACTGCAGCGCCCCTAGAGCAAGGACCACATGACCCAACAGCCTGGGGCAGTCCTGGTTTGGGTCTGCTGCCTAATTATTAACAGCACCCCTTTATTCTTAAAAGTGCTCCAGTTTAGACAAGTTACACAGTCTCTCTCTCCTTGCCCCAAATGTTCAGACTGTAAAGCCACCTTCCAGTTCACAGTAGAGGGAGAAGTGGATGACGCTGGTGGAACCATCAGACACATCTGGGACGTGGGACGTTCCACAGGACCCCTGACTTGGTTTCCTTAGTAGGTGATGGCTGGGGGGACGGGGCTGAGGGCAGCGACCCAGATTTAAGAGGCTTGAGAAACCCAACAACCAAATGCAACACACAGACCTTGTTTGGATTTGAGTAAACCGACTGTTTTAAAGAAAGTCTGGAACCATTAGCAAAACTTGAAAGGGCTGGGATAGAAAACCCTGCTAATTGTACTTGTTGTGCAAAAAAGCTCACAGCAAGGATGCTGGTCAGAATGGATGCTGCAGCACACGAGGCAAAACAGATCTGAAATCTGCCTCAATCTTCAAGAGATGGGAGAAGCAAATATGGCAAAACCTTTATGATTATTGAGGCTGGGAGATGGATATATGGGTAATTGTATTATCATTCCTCCTTTTGTTACAAGTTCGAGACTTGTAACAAAAATTACA